GTTTTGATTTGTTTTGGCTCAAAATCCAGAGCCCTCTTGCCTCAGTTGCCCCCTTGCTGGGAATGTAAGCATGTGCTACTATATACCTAGCTCAATATCTCCAATTTTGATTTTTTTTTTCTTGGTATGTAGCCCTACCTGGCCTGGAAGTCACTATTCCGATTTTGAGTCTGGTGTCAACGCTGAGACAGGCTCAGCAGACATGATTCTTTGTTCCCACTTAATACTGACGCCTAATTGTTAGAATTAATTTCCCTGAAGTCTCATGTATTTTATGTTTTCCCTAAAATAGTTAAGTCTAGAAATACAAATGGGGTAAAGGCACCTGCCACCAAGTCCTATTACATGAGTTTGATTCCTAGGCCCCACGTGGTAAAAGACAAAAATTGACTCCTAGGACTCCACTGACCTCCACACACATCCCCCATAGCACACATGTATGTACATGCAATTAAAAAAGAATTGTAAATGCTAATCTAATTTGTAAGTTTTAAAGCAATTTTTCAATTTTATTTATTTTATTTGTGGTCAGATGTTTTTGACGGTGGGACTTTTGTAGTTAACCTATCACTGGTTGAGAAGTTTTTTCCTTTACCAGTAAGACTCGAGATGAATTGCTTACACTATCATTTCAAGTCAAGTATGTTTTATGCTTAAATTGATGCCAGAGTCACAAGAAATTGGATGATAAATTAATATGTGACACAGACAAAAATAAGGTCAAGTTTCTTTGTTATAAGAAAAAACCCACAATGCACTGTAATGGAAAATATTTAATTAGATCATTCATCCAGTCAATAGCTCGTTGTCCAGCGCCTCTTAGCTTAGGTCCTGTCAATGCACGAGATTTTCTTTCTTGTTCTCCTCCTCTCCCTCGCTCCTCTTTCTCTTCTCTCAGCACATCTTTCCCTCCCCAGGAACTTCGTCAACAATGCTAACACCTGATTCTCCCAATGCCAGGGAAGAAGGAAAACCTTTGTTTCCCCCTTTCCTGGTCCTTCATTCTCCCTGCTGACTCCAGTTGTCTTCTGCGCACGACCTATAGGAAGAACCAATCTGTGTGGCTAAGCAGGAACTCTTAATATACTATTCAGCTGTGCTGCGGAGCATGGGATCTTCGGGGTGTGTGATGAGGGGCCAGGTAACAGAAATGTGAAATGTCTGGACGGTTTTTCAAGACCCCTGATAAGGATTTCAGATAGTAGTTAGGCAAGAACCCTCACATTTATCCACTCAAGATGCTCCCTTCGTAGATTTTGGTGCCATGGTGACGGTACTAATAGAACACAAGCTTTCTAGCCCCAGTAATGACCCATCAGAGCTTCAGGAAAAGCCATCATATTTCTGTAGCATTCATCTGTCAGCAGGAGACTATTACAGAGCACAAACTCACATTGTATTAGTGTTATCAGTTCCTTATGATCCTTGGCACAAGTGCCAGCCAATGGGCTGGCAGTCTGCTGGGCCCCACTGGGAGATATAACTCCATACCTAAATTCAAGCATGTGAGAAGGCAGCAGAACTGTAGAGGTGTGTGGCTGGGGACATTCCCCTGGCCTGGAACCCATGACACACTGTCCTAAGAGATGCTCAGGCTAAGGTCACTGACGTGGTCAAACCTGCCTTCGTCACTGTGGACTGTCAATGGATGCCCTTCCTGGACCCGCCTTCCCCCGGTCCTCACTGTGAGCTCGAGCAGAATCAGGTTTGGCTTATGATTCAAACAACTCCATGGAGTCAGCCTCCTCTTCCTGGTCTGGTGGTAAGAAGTGTATCTACACGCTGGGTGTTTCCCCATGGTCTTGTTCTAACCCACACCCTTGACTTCAGGAGCTGTAGGAATGAATGAGGGACAGAGATGGAATAACTATGAGCTCTCACACCTGCTGGATTCAGTGACTAGAGGGTAGATGCTCTAAAACTGCCTGGTGGGTCTTATTTAGTGATGAGGTGGGGCGGGGAGGGGGGGTGGTCAAGTCCTATTGGGGATCAATCTGTGTCCACCAGTTCTTTTGAGTGTCATGGCTTGAGAGATGTAAATAGCTTCCTCTTGTGGTTGGTCCTAGAGCATGTAGGAGGAGGAAATTATGGAACTTGAGAGGCATTTCTTAACTGTTACCTTGTTTGTGAAAAAAAAAAAATAACCCTGATGTGGGGGAGTCCGTACCAAGGGAGGGAGAATAAAATCAAGACCGGGCCCTGAAGGAGCAAAGGTTTGATTCGCACTAAACCACAGACAAGGAATGCTGTGCTGCGCTGGGCTGCAAGTCGCTTCAAGGATAGCAGAAGACCCAGGTATAGACATTATGACAACCTTAAGGACCGAGGCCAGCTATGATAGAACATAGCAGAGGGTAGGTCGGTGTGGATGGCCTGTTTGGTGTTTTTTGTCTCGAGGGAAACACAGGCCTTTGAAGCAGAGTAGACTGTTAAATGACTGTGGTTGTAGATAATCTGTCACCAGATCCTGGCTTAGGGCGGGACAGCAGGTCATGATATTGGCCCCCACCAACTAGCAATTCCTTTGCCTTCCCAGGAGTCCATCAGGCCCACATCCCCAGAGGACCTATGTGTAGACCACACCCAGACACTCATGCTACTGACCCCACAGCCTCTGAAAGAACTTGCATTCAGGGATGGAGGCAGGGCAAGGAGAGAGGACTGTCTGTGTACCTTAAGGAGTGGTTCGAGCAGAAATTCAGACCTCGGGAGTGGTTCGGGCAGAAATTCAGACCTCGGCTCACATGCTTTGCCAGTCTTCGTTGTATGACCTGGGAAAGGACATTTTGGCACACATGGAAATGTATGGCTCTCTCCATTTATCAAACCTGATGAGAGTTCTAAGTGCAGGTGCTCCTCAGCTCAGGATGGGGCTACACCCCCATCAACCACTCGTGAATTGAAATGATCGTAGGTTGGAAAGGCGTTAACTATACCCAGCCTAGTGAACTTCGTAGACTACCTCCACAGCACACTGTGGACCTCCGTGATTCGGAGCTGAGTGAAGGCTGTAGCTGTCGCCGCCTGGCACATCAAGGCAGTATGGCACACATCTGTATCCTGGAAAAAGGATTTTAAAGTGTGTTTTGCTATATACCCTTTCTCCATCAATTGCCTGCATCAGGCACTGCTGGGTACCAGATGCTGGGATTCTCCAGTGAACAGCACAGACACGGTCACACCTCTCATGGGACTTCCAGTCTAGTGAGGAGGGGCAGTACCTCTCACTCCAGTACACATGTAACTGCTAACTATATTAAGCAACTTGAAGCAGTGTGATTGGCTGAAGATCCGGGTGCTGTCTGGGAGAGAGGGGTCTTTCAGATGACAGGTAGAGTGATTGGGCTGTGGAGGGGTACAGAGTCCCACAGAATCCTGTCCTGTGAAGATGTCCACATAGGTCAAAGAGCAGGTTCCATTCCTCACTGTAACAAGAGTCATCAATTGTGCATTTTCAAATCACTATCAAGCCTGTGAGTGTGCTTGGAGAATGAACTGGGGAGAGAAAGAATTCAGAGAAGCCAGGCACTGAGGCCTTCACAAGAGATGGGGTCATATAGAAACCAAAGTCAAGGACAGTATCTCTGGATCCCTTTGTCTCTAATAAAATAACCTATTGGCTTAAAAAAAAAATGACGCAGGTCTGGTGGGGGTCAGTTGATAGAGCAAACATCCCTACCTATTTCTTGATATCATCCCATGCGTTCCTCCACTTCAGCCCATGTGAACCATATCAGCTGCCCTCCCCAGCCCCGACTAGTGCATTTAATCCAAGTCAAATGTCACCCTTGAAGCCAGTACCTAGTCCCCAGACCCCTCCAGAGTGGCTGACCCCTCCTGCGGTTTCCCCCACCTCCCTCCCTGCTTTATCCTAAAAACACAGCACTGCCTGCAGGTACACCCACTTAGACATTATTTTGGTAACAAAATTATCTCTCTCCCCCCAACACTGTTCATTGTCTTTTTTAGAATATGAGAAAATAAAGTAATGGTCTCTCCTGAGGGCCTTTTCTCCCCCTTTTAAATAATTCTGTATCCACACCAGCACACATGCTCATTTGAGTCATCAAATTGATTATTATTCCCGCGGCAGGCACATCCCCAAAGACGAAAAGCCCCACAAGAAGAGTTAGGACTTGACTTATGGCTTATTTTGGTACATTGGCAGCCCATAATACTCTGGTTCACGGAAGGGAGAGGCAGACTGTTGCAGATGCAGGTGTGTTGATAGCTGGGCATTCAGGTGTCAACTTGTGCCTCGGAGAAGCTGTGCCGAGTAAGCTGGAGGTTTAAAAGCACAATTGTGTTTTCCCAAGCAGACAGGGATTTATGCCCAGGGCCTGTGTCCTGGGTACACTATTGAGATTTGCCAATGGGCAAAGCCTGACTTTGTAGTGTAGGGGCATTTTAGGGATACAAACCCTGCATCTAGCCACATGCCAGCGGGTCAGAGCAAACCCAGGTGACAGGAGCAAGGAAGGGAATCTGTCTCTCTCCTTTGGCTGACAGCCCCCCACCTGCTGGCCTGACTCTTTGCACACTAAATACGAATTTCTAAGCCCCTGGCCGCTGCTCCATGGTGGTGATGGTGCGGAATGTGACTAGTTTTTAATTTGGAGAACAAACCCATCCTGAGAGGCTGAGACAGGTTCCTAAAGCTGGGTGCCGGTTGGGTGGGTAGGGGTGCATATATTAGTACCCTCCCCCAACGGTCCCACCAGGCAGTTGGACACCCCACACACACACCCCGCTTTTCAGCTGCTAGAGCAAGAATGCAAGCTTTAGGACTCTAAAAAAACCCAGCCTTCCTACTCCACAGGAGATGGAGACCTTGCTTGTCCGCGGGAGTGTCCTATTCCATTGAAGTCTCTTGGGCTGGCCCCCCTCCCCCCACCCCAGCTCGATTCTGTCACTTTAAGTCCAGCCCCTGAGAGATAGCCAATAGGAGCCAAATCATACATCAGTCTCTCAGCCTTAAAGCTACAGTAGGGTTAGTGGGCTCCAAGTGTCGGGCGCCTCAGCCTCCTCCACGGCTTCGCGTCCCCTCTGCCCGTTCGCTGAGCGCGCGGATGAGTGGGAGCCCGGGGCTGCGCGCGGCTCTCTGCCTCAGGCTCCCCCCGCCGCGTCCGCGTCCTCCCACTCCGCCTTGTCGCGCTCACCGTGCCCTGCCGGGACTCGCACCTCGCCTGTGCCCTTCACTCGTCTTCCTCGTGATTTCCCCGCTGCCGGTCTCCTCCAACTGGGAATGCTAAAACAGGACTGATGGACGTGTCCGAACTCTGCATCCCGGACCCCCTCGGCTACCACAACCAGTAGGTGCCTCACTTTCCCGACTGTCTGCCTGTCTGTCCGTCAGTCCGTCCTTCTGCCCATCCAAGTGTCTCTGTCCTGGATGTCGCAGTTCCTCTTCTACACATTTCTGAAGTGGCACGGACTTGGGGCGGGGGGCACTCGGGGACTTAGTAGAGGGGAAGCCGCACACTTGCTGGGTCTCTTTCTCGGGGTTAAACCCTCCTCTTAACTTTTCCCGCACCCCCTTTCATGAGACCTCACTTTTAGGCAACAGTGGCGCTTTCTCATTCACTCTGATTTTGCTCCGCGGTGACTAAATATCTTCATTTCCGTGATGGGAAGGCGGAAGCCCGGAACAGGTGCGGGGACGTGGCTGCAAGGGTGTTCTGTCCGTCCCGTCCTAGGAACCCTCCCCGCGGGTGCTTTGATTTCCATCCTGGGTACCCAAAATGATTTCAGCCAGGGGCAGAAAATGAAGCATGCGGAGTTTGGTCGGGAACTGCAGGAGGCCAGTGTCGCACGGGCACCAGGGTCTCAGCGGGACGCTCTCGGTGTGATGGTCCCGGGAGCCCCCTGGGGCGCGGCGGGGCCGGGAGCGCTGCGCTCCGCACGCCCTGCTTGGGGAGCCGGTGTCCCGCCGGGAGCCCGGGTGGCGGCTCCGCGCTGCGGTGGAGGTGAAGTCAGTTGTGGATTCTGGGCAGCGTGGCGGGCACTATTTCCCCGCTGCGGACTGAGTAGCGCCAGAACGCGGGTTATGCGAGCGACGTGGGTGGTTGTGGCTGCGACGGCTGGATGCGACTCTTGGTAGCTCCGGGGTCTTGGGACAGTTCTCTGAGCTTACTGGGTAGGAAGAGAAGAACTGACCTAAACCGCGATTGACTGCCCCGGGCTATCACGGCTCAACCAGTGCCACCCGCGCTCTCCAAGGTGGCCGTGCCGCCTGCGCCAGCACCTGCCAGTGCCTCCCCTCTGTGTCCCGCCGCGCTGGGTGGGACCCAGAGCATTCGGACCGCTTGTGTGGGCCTGAAAATGGTCCTCCACGGCCTTAATAATAAAGATTAAACGAATCAAAGGAAAACTCCAGCTTCTCGCGGGCAGCTTTCCTAAGTAAGTTTGTGTTCTCTTCCACCCCCACTCGCCTTTTTCTTCTGAAAGAAACTTACCGAGTTGGGTTTTCTTCCCTATCACGGACTTTTCCTTTCCACACCCTGTACATCCTTTCCCTGCACCATCCCGCCAGGGAACTGAGGACACAGCTATAAGATAAAGGCAGTGGACCACGACTGGTTCGGTAAAGTTTCGAACCCTCCACCTCACCTCGGAAACCACTCTACTTGCCACCGGCAGGCGTAAGGAGGCAACTTCGCAGCTGTGGGGCGCCGGGCTGTCCTGGGCGCCCCACGCTGACCATTTCGCTTCTAGGATTTAGGATTTTCCCCAGGGCCAAGAGTCATTTAGATACCTGCAGAATTTAAACCAGGAGGTGTTGAGCAGGGAGAGGAAAGCCGGTCCTTAATTTCAATGGATTCTGATCTCCATCAGCTTGAAAAGTGGCTTTTCACTCCCTTTCAAGGTTATGCTGCTTGCAGCTCCTGGGGCTGCTGGGTGGCAGTGGGGGTGGGGGGTCTTGGCTTTCAGGCTCCTCCCCAAGGGAGTATGAGAGTCAGTAGAACCCCGGGGAAAGAACGGGTTGAGGGTAGGGACAGTGTGATGCTTGTTGGGCATTTCCTCACATAAAATTACCAAGTACGATAAATATTGGATATTTAAATTATTTAGGTTCCCTTTCTCCGGAGGTGACTTCTTCCCTTGAGCTCGAAATATCTCTGTGTTTGTCTCTGGCTCAAGGCATCATCAATCAATATGAAAATGTGTGCGCGTATGTGGAGGGCCCGAATGTATGCTTTGGTAGTGTTGACCAAGTAAGCAGGGACAGCTCCAGGGCAAAGAACCGGGCTCTTCCCAGAACCCGCAGAGAGCCTAATTTCAGTTTGCGGATTAATGTGGGCTAAGAGGGGAATATCAGGGAGGCCACAAACAGGACGATGGAGCCAAAGTCTTGGAGGTCTGGGGGAAGCGTAAAGTGGAAATGGTTTATAAACTAAGCCTGGCCATGGTGTGGCTTCTCTGACCTTTCTGGCTCTTTTCTTTTTCTAAATAATAATAATAATAACAATAATAATAATAATAACAATAATGATAACAACAACAATAGCTCCTCCTTCCATGAGCCATACCAAAAGTCAAAAGTATGCCTGCTGGTACTGAGGACTCAACCAGTCGTGAAATGCTGGATTTTTTTTTTTCCTTTGCCAAGGTCCTTCCAGGCAGCAGCTCCAAGCTGTAACCAGCAGTTCTCACACAGGTGTGTGCAGAAGCTAGGGTTCTCCTTTGCCTCCGTCCAGAGGAGCAGGAGGCACAAGGATGGGCATGGCAAGGAGAGGGTGGTATTTAGAGAGGGCAGGTGGCTTTGGGGCCACCTCTGGCCAAGTCACAAAACAGGAGGCGGCACACGTTGGTTTGTTGGAAGGATGGTGGCAAGAAAGCATTTACCACAGGCTGATGTTTCTCAGAGAACCTGAGGTAGAGAGTGTGCGTGTGTGCGGCGCGTGTGCGTGTGCTGGGGGGCGATCATGTGCTCCCTACATACAGTTTTTACCCCCGCATGGTAATTGATATTCCCATACTTGAGAAAGCCCAGGGGCACAGGGAGTGTGTGAGCTCAGAGATGGGGAAGCTCGAAGCTAGCCTCCTAATACACAGAGCATTTGTCACGCTCTCTGTGTGATCCTCACTGTCCCAGCTGAGAAATAAACTCCCACATGTTCCTACCTTTCCACCCTTCATTTTAATTTTCCCATAGTCCGTCCTGGAGGTGACTGCCTCACCCGTCCTAATCAGTATTTTATGTTCATGTATGACAGGCAGAAGCCAGGGTGAATAGACTCTCCTTTGGGGGCCTGTGTGCGAGTGAGGACCCTGGGGCACAAAACCCAGTGTGTCTGTGTCTGGGGTGGGGAGGGGGTGCGCTGCTACCTTCTGAGGAGGAGGACCACTATGCTGTTGTTAAAGAAACAAAGAACAAACTGTCCTGAAGGTAAAATGTGTGGGTTCACACGTAGGAAAAATGCCACATGGTAATTCAAAATCAGTGACCTGGAGAAAAACAAAGGGGGAAATTAATTTTTAATGGGACATTCAAAAATAAATCAGAGTGAAGGCATTAGTTGTGGTTTTCCAGGGGAGGGGCTCCAGAAAAGAAACCTTTCTCTTTCTGCCACTCCCTTGAAGGTGTCGCTGGGTGGTAGAGGATGGTGGGATAACCGGCAGGAGTTGTTCAGCCCCCGGGGCAATAAATAGAAAAAACATTAGGTCAGTGTTACGGGCCCCAGTCAGGGCTGAGGCCCTTCCTGGTGTGTGACAGCTCTATATCCTTGGAAATTTCCTCTTGGGGCTGGTTAGTTTACCAATTCCTTTTCCTTAGAAACAATCTTCTATTTTGCCAATAATTACAGTATATGAAAAGATTTTTTTTAATAAGAGAATTCACAAGAGGAACAACTTGATCCCCCAAACAGGAACATTTTCATTCTATTGATTTGGAGTAATCAATAAATATCCCATTTAGTCCAAGAGACAGGGACAGAGGGGACTTTCGGGGAAAGCAGTGTGTGTGGGAGGGACAGAAGCTGTGGCAGAGACTTGCTGTCACACGAGGCCTCTCAGAGTGCCCTGTCCCCCAGTCACGCTCTCTCGACTCTGCTCTACTCTTCATTCATGTTCCTGAACTGGACATTTGTCAAATGGGTTTTGAAGAGAGCTAAGAGTCGATGAAAAGTCTCTCTTGTTCCTTGGTCCTCTGCAATATGCCTTGCTTCTTTGGAGTAGAGGTCTCTACAGTGTCTAGGCTATGGTGGTGCCTGAGGATGTGTCTGGGGAAGGTTGGGGAGCAGGCAGGCTGCAGGAGGTGTGGGGGGGGTGCTTTTGACAGACCAGAGGCAGGGCACTATTGACCTGACCTAGAACTTGTCATCTCAAGATGATTAAGCCTTGGTCCAAATTTAAAGGGAAGAATGGTAATATTTAGGCCATGATTTACCCTTTCAAATAAAGCCCGAGCCATGCTATGAACACCCTAATTCTAGTGCCCTGCCTCACAGGCCAGCCTTAGTCAGGTCTGTCCACCTCTCTCAGCGGGAGACCCCTCAGAGTGTTCCTCCCACATGGATAGGAGCTGTCTGTGCTCAGCATCTGCCGAACGGCCTCCGAGGATGTCTGTCTTGGATGCTGATGACTCTTGACTCAATGTTACTGCAATCTTCTAGCTTGGCTGGAATGCTCAGCTCCTCATGTCCTTCCCAGTCTCTGTAGTCCCGCAAAGATACACGGGGAAAGAGTGAGCTGTGACTGCAGGGTCTGTGGATTGCTCCTGGAAAGCTGGGAGGGTGGAATTAAGGATGGGCTGGAGCCAAACCAGTCAGCCAATTGAGAAGCATCCTGAGCATTCTGCTTGTGTGCCCTTGAGACTCCCTGCTGCTTCTAACGCTGAAGAAAAAAAATTTTTGGTAGTATACATCTGTGACCCCTGACAGAGCCTCCTTCACGCGAGCCATCTCTGTCCAACACGTTCATATATCTCTGTGGAATGCCTGATTTCAGAGAGGACCATTCCTTAGAGATGGGGTCCACAGGCTTCAGCTGGTGGAACCAGAGTGGCCTGGGGCTGAGTTACATCTGGTTGTCCCATTGGCCCAATGTGGTCTGGTTCCTGTGTAGGGGAGGTTGTGGTGCTTATAATTGCAAATGTAATTAGCAGACCAGCCATGGGGGACTGGGATGCTCAACTGGTCTCTGCCCATCTCAGTGACCCCTGTGATAAGCTGGCCCAGCAGATTAACCCTTGAGGAACCGGCCTATCTCTTGCCACCAGTGAGGCCCACTGATCTTTCACTGACGACAGCAGAGCTGTGCTGGGACCAGATCCTTCCTCTGGAGAGGCTTCAAGGCAAGGAATGAATAG